AGTGTTACAAGTGAAATTAGTTAGATAGAACTGTTTGGTGGCCATCAGTTGTCATGCTAGCATGAAGTCACAAATCATTGTGACCAAGGGTTTCAGTGTATTGACCTTTTCAAACTGTTGCTCATGCCAGATTGTGCACTCTCTCTCACTGTAATTAATGTCCGTAGTTCTTGTGAAGAAAATGTTCAAATGAGATTTGCTTCTTACCAGTAAAATTGAATCTGTTAACATGTGTCCAAAGCAACAAGGATGACGAATAAGTTTGTATCAAAAATTCAAAATTGACGAGTTGTATAGAATTCATAAGTCCAACATCAAAAGTCCAAGAGCCAAAAAAAATAAGATGAAAAAAATCCAACTTACTAATTCCAATACAGTGAACTCACTTTACTGCATGAACCAAAAAATATACCCTCCTCGTCAAGCAAAACAACGGCTTTTATTTTTTGATTGGTTATGATACTCAGGGAGGATAAAAACAAAATTATGATACATGAAGTATGCTTAAGGCAGTAATTATCTGGGATTGAACAGAACACAAACTCTTTTGTGAGGTAGGTGATTTTTGCCACATCTCAGATATGAGTAAATAGCAGGAGAGACTCAGCTCTATAGATTTGGATGGCAACTGCTCTAGGAGAAGAAGCTAACACTGAATTCAAAACCGACCTGGAATTCAAAACCAGCTACCTTGCCCAAGAAACACCACTTCTACTGTGGCTGTAGTACATGTGGCACCCCTATGACCGATCAGGGTCACAAGATTTGCACTATTTTTGCCACAGGAAGAGGATGATTTAACTCCATAAATGTGGCATGGTGGGTCTTAACTTTAAAGTTTCTGAACTGGTGGAACTAAGAAACATAGTTGGCTGTAGAAATGTTATGAGACAGTAGTTGTCATTCTTGTTGCATATTGTCAGGTTATGTAATGCTTTTGTCACTAAGATGTCACACCGTTCCAGATTTCTGGAACTTATTTGGAAACGTAAGCTGGATCTATGTCTTTATACAGTGATTTTGAGATTGTAGAAGGCATGGTTTATATAACAGCTGTTATCTTGTTTCCTTCCCATTCAAAGAACCACGGCTTAGAATCTGAATGCAAAGTGAACCCTTGCAAGAGTGCCATGCTGACAGCCATTGATTGGATTTCTGCATAAAAACAGCATTGATTTCCATCTCTGATCATGTCACTACTGCAGCTCTTGTGAAAATACAGCAATCATTTTCTACTCCTGTTAAACCAGGTTTAACTGAATTGCATTCCTCGCATTGGGCATGAAATGAAAATTTTGCTCATGAAACAAATTGGCTTTCTCTCCTTTACTCAGCTCTTTAGTCAGTTGTCTTGATGCCAACTGTTGAATATACAATTAAATTCCATGGTGTATTTAAAATCTGTTATTCATGTATATATTAACATTATTTTGGGCACTTCGGCATGTGGTGTAATGGCTAGCAATATTGTCTCGTTAGATCAATTACAACTGAGTATTGTGTTTGATCTTCTCTGAGCGCTCAATACTTGCAGTCTTGTGCCACATCTAAGTTACACTTTGTAAATCGCTATATTAATCTTATTTCTTAAAAATCTGACCAACAACAATCTCACTTTCTTTCTAGTTTTCACTGCTTCTATAGTAAAGCATTTTCACAGCATTTTAATAATTTAAAAATTATGAATATTCTAACATTAGTAAATGGATTAATTCCTGACCACTGACAATCCCTTCCTTCCTGATTTTTAATGCATTTATACACTAAATCATATTTGAGTTCAAAGTTAGGATGCTTGTCTCCGTTGGTAGTTGCATAATTAAAAGAAAAACTTGTAGTTCTAATGAAAGATTCATTTTTATGGAAATATTTTGGCTAGCAGTTACCAGGCTTGGTCACTCCTTAATTGGAGTAAAACAGTAGAAAGAAGTTTGAAAACATAAGAATTTAAATCAAGGAAAACAAACCGAGTTGATGATGTTTACAACGTTATAGCAAGTCAAGGCATAAAAAATTTTTTTTTTTCTCTCCTCCATATATTTTTCTTTGGAGAAAAGATGTCCGGTCACAATGGAGTTGTGCTGCATCTATCCTATTGCAGGCATTTTTTGTCGTTGCTATTACCATTTGTTCAGCTACTCTTCTTTGATTGAAAAACTTTTGGTTGTCAATTTTATTTCCAGATGGTCAAAGTCAATTCTGTGACTTTGTTTATTTGTTTATAATTCTTATTATTTTGCATTGGTCAGTGTAAGTTGAAGTAAAAAAAAAAAAAAAGAACACAAATAGTAAAAATCTACCAAGTATTTGATATTGTTGAAAATGGTAAATTTACATTCTACATATAATAGCCATCTTCTCTCAGTAATGCTTGCATTAATTCCTGACCACTGGCAATCCCTTTCTTTCTGATTTTCAATGCATTCCTATAGTAAATCATTAGTAATGAATTTACATTCTACATATAATAGCCCTCTTCTCTCAGTACTGCTTGCATTAATTCCTAACCACTGACAATCTCTTTCTTTCTGATTTTCAATGCATTCCTATAGTAAATCATTAGTAATGAATTTACATTCTACATATAATAGCCCTCTTCTCTCAGTACTGCTTGCATTAATTCCTAACCACTGACAATCCCTTTCTTCCTGATTTTCAATGCTTTCCTATTGTAAATCATTAGTAATGAATTTACATTCTACATATAATAGCCCTCTTCTCTCAGTACTGCTTGCATTAATTCCTGACCACTGACAATCCCTTTCTTCCTGATTTTCAATGCATTCCTATAGTAAATCATTAGTAATGAATTTACATTCTACATATAATAGCCCTCTTCTCTCAGTACTGCTTGCATTAATTCCTAACCACTGACAATCCCTTTCTTCCTGATTTTCAATGCTTTCCTATAGTAAATCATTAGTAATGAATTTACATTCTACATATAATAGCCCTCTTCTCTCAGTACTGCTTGCATTAATTCCTGACCACTGACAATCCCTTTCTTTCTGATTTTCAATGCATTCCTATAGTAAATCATTAGTAATGAATTTACATTCTACATATAATAGCCCTCCCTCTTCTCTCAGTACTGCTTGCATTAATTCCTAACCACTGACAATCCCTTTCTTCCTGATTTTCAATGACAATCCTTTCTTCCTGATTTTCCTATATAGTAAATCATTAGTAATGAATTTACATTCTACATATAATAGCCCTCTTCTCTCAGTACTGCTGGCATTAATTCCTGACCTCTGATAATTCCTTTCTTTCTGATTTTCAATGCATTCCTATAGTAAATCATTAGTAATGAATTTACATTCTACATATAATAGCCGTCTTCTCTCAGTACTGCTTGCATTAATTCCTGACCACTGACAATCCCTTTCTTCCTGATTTTCAATGCTTTCCTATAGTAAATCATTAGTAATGAATTTACATTCTACATATAATAGCCCTCTTCTCTCAGTACTGCTTGCATTAATTCCTGACCACTGACAATCCCTTTCTTTCTGATTTTCAATGCATTCCTATAGTAAATCATTAGTAATGAATTTACATTCTACATATAATAGCCCTCTTCTCTCAGTACTGCTTGCATTAATTCCTGACCACTGACAATCCCTTTCTTACTGATTTTCAATGCATTCCTATAGTAAATCATTAGTAATGAATTTACATTCTATATATAATAGCCCTCTTCTCTCAGTACTGCTTGCATCAATTCCTGACCACTGACAATCCCTTTCTTCCTGATTTTCAATGCATTCCTATAGTAAATCATTAGTAATGAATTTACATTCTACATATAATAGCCCTCTTCTCTCAGTACTGCTTGCATTAATTCCTGACCACTGACAATCCCTTTCTTCCTGATTTTCAATGCATTCCTATAGTAAATCATTTGTAATGGATTTACATTCTACATATAATAGCCGTCTTCTCTCAGTAATGCTTGCATTAATTTTTGATCACTGACGATCTCTTTCATCCTGGGTTTGAACCCTGTACTCTGGTGCCAATGGGAATACAGAAAGTCTAATCTTTCAGGTAGGCACCACCAATTCTACTCCCTGTTATCTGAATCAATATAAAAAAGGCTAACCTGCTTTCAAATACCTGCCTTCTCAGTGGGATGGGCCTGCTTACCTTGAAAATCAGCATTAACTTGGACTTTCAAAACTCAACATTTCAATTCATTTCCTTCATAGGAAAAAATAGTTCTGTTCATACACAGTCAATAAGATTGTCTAGGTATATATTTGCGAAGGTACAAAAATTTAGAAAAATTTCAGAGACAGGTTTTTGATTGAGGTTGATAGCCACTCTATTGGCTCTGGGAGAATGCCAAGACTTTTACTTGGTATATTCTTTCAATTTAATGAAAGAAATTTAAGGATGAAATCTGGCACATGCCCAGGCTTAAATACTAACTTCTGCTGAAATAAGATTTCCAATAGTAGCACCAGTTATAAAACAAGAGAGTTAATTTATTATCTTTGGAACTAAACTTACTGCCTATTTGAATGAGTCAAAACACTTGACTAAATTTTTTTTAAAGCATACAAGTACAAGGACATAAATTATTTTAAAATTATAGCCATAGAGACCTATTAAAAATACAATGGGATTATGTTTAGTAATACATGTAAACAACATACAGATCAATTTTTGTGTATGTGTGTGTTGTTGCAAAAAAGAAAATATGTGGGTGGGGGTGAAAAACAAAGACCAAAAATATCAGATTCGGCATTTGTCAGTTCTTATAGGATGGAAGCAACTTCCTGACTTCCAGAGATGATTCAAAGAACAATTCTGAGAAATCCATTTTGACCTTGACAGATTTTTTCCTTTGCTTCTTTTTTTTTTTGCTTTTTTTTGTTTATTTTTCTTTCTTTTAATTGAGGAGGGGGCAACAAGCTTTCCGTCTTTTCTATTCCTACAGCCATTTCAATATTATCTTTTATCTGTCAAATTTTTTTTTTCTTTTATGCTAAAAAATGTTACTCTCTTTACATCCTGTTCATTTGTCTTACTCTTTTTTTGACTCTGTTCCATCTCTTTCTTTATTTACCCCCTTTTGCTTTCTCTTGTTGCCATCCTCCATCTTTGTCCCCCTCCACCTGTCTCATTCGGCTGCCTTTGTCCCCTTCTACTTGTCTGGTTCTCATATTTTTGTCAGCACTCATCTATGCCATTCTCCTGTTTGTGCTAGCCTCCAATCATCTCTTTCACCCAGCTTTGACCCCTCTCACCCTTTTTGTTTGCTAGGCTCTGTCTCCACCACCACCTACCTCATTTGCCCATCTTTTTCCACACAAACTACTCATTTGCCCATCTATGTCTCCATCCAAATGTCTCATTTGCCCACCTTTGTCATCTCCACCCATCTTTGTCTCCTTCACCTATCTCATTCCTTCTTCTTTGCCCCTCATTGTTTTTCTCATTATCCATGTCTATTTGTCTTCCCCTCCCACTCTCTTCCTCTTTGCTGTCTCCCCTCCCACTCTCTTCCTCTTTGCTGTCTCCCCTCCCACTCTCTCATTGTCTTCCCTCCCACTCTCTCATTGTCTTCCCTTCCACTCTCTCATTGTCTTCCCTTCCACTCTCTCATTGTCTTCCCTTCCACTCTCTCATTGTCTTCCCTGCCACCCTCTCCGTCTCTCTGCTTTCTCCCTATTTCTCCCTTTACCTTCCCCTTCCACTGCCTCTCACTTTCACTTTACCTTCCTAACACTATCACTTCCTCTCTTTGATATTTTCTTTCTTATTAACTTTTCAACATTTGCTTTGATCCAATTCTCTCTCTTCTTTGAGTAAAATTATTTTCAAAGAGAGAGAGAGAGAGAGCACAGTAGGAGAGGGAGAGATGCTATTATCTGCCAAACTGTTTTTGTTCACAATTACCAATATTTTGTCGGTATAGATTTTGTAAATCACTGAAAAATTTCACTTGCAAAGTTACTGATAAACCTTTCAGAAACAAGTGTCCGGATCAGTTACAAAACAGAAATTAAATTCAGTTTACTTTCCAATGGATTCTGAAGATGATGTCAATCCTCTCTGGGATTGTAGATGAGAGTTAAAGCAAGGTTGAAAATAAGAGAATCTTGTGCAATATCTTTCCCCCCCTATTATGGAAAGGGGGAAAAATCCTTGCAACAAACAATAAGAATTGATGTCAGTAAGGGCAGGTTTTTGACTGATTTTGCTTTTGGAAATAATTTCTCGGGAATTGTTCAGACTGGTGTGGGGAGGCTATGAGAAGGGAGAAGTGGTGGCGCATCATACCTGGGCCTGGGGATTGCAAGGATCCCAAGAGCTGAAAGGAGCATGGGATTTTCTTCTGATCTCAGGGAATATCTTCAGATATTGAAAACTCCATGTGAAGTATTTCTTCTAATCTGGATTGGGGCATAAACAAATATCTTGAAATCTGCTTTCTTTTCTTTGGATCAGTTTTTTTTTTTTTATTTCTGGTTTGGAATGGAGAGAGAAGGATAAGAACTCAAATGTACATATCACCGGATTGTTGTCATTTTGGTTTCATTCAGTATGTGTGCATATCTATAATTGGTACGTGTGATTGAGAGAGTAGAACAAATAGAAGTTATAATGATATGTAATGTATATACACACACATGAGTGTAAAATAAGTGTGTGTATATTGCTGATATGCCTGGAATGTCTGTCTAAAAAAAAATTCTGGTACTAACCATCGCCTGAAGGAGTACAACGTAGTGCCAAAACATGAAAGCCATTGTGTAGCAATTTCAATGTTTTTGTTATAATATCTTATAATAAAATAATAATAATTATAATAATGCTCTACTTTGTATTGAGCATTTTTTTAAAAGTAAATGCTATGAACAGTGGAATTTTACTTCATCTGTTATTTCTCTCATTTGGAGATATATATATATATATATATATATGATGGACTTTACTGTCGGTTTCGGCGTATGAGGATCTGACAGCTTATTGATTCAGTTATGAAATTTCATGCGATGATCTTAAGTGGCACTTAAGATTCACTAGTGATTTACAAAGGAGGCCACATATGGAGCAAGTGCGAGGATTGTGAGATGAGATCACTGTTAGATTGGCTGACCTTTTAGATCTTGCTCTCACTTCTTGAAGATGATTCAGACAAGCAGATTGAAAACTGCTGAGTCCACTAAAACATGTTGATCTCCATTCTACCCACTCCAAGGCTAAGCACTCAAGGGTGTTATGTGGTATATTGACTGCTGACTAATATATATAATATTAGTGGGTAATATATATATATATATATATATATATATATATATATATATATATAAAATTTTCAAGAGAATAGAATCCAGGTAGAACTCAATGTTCAGGACAGAAATTTTAGTTTTTATTCCCGGAGTTATTTTTTCTGATTTCTTTTTGAATTTGTAGGTCTGATGAATTGGATCGTAATTGCGATTCCAATGTAATTATTACCATGGAATATTAGTGTTTTTGTCACTTAGGTAATTGATGTTACCTTCAGCATCCCAACTCCAGAATTTTGTAGATGGACCAGTCTGTCTACTCCTCAGGGAGCATCAGCATTTTACTGCTTATATTTCTGTGATTTTTTTCTTTTTATGTCTATTTAACACTGGTGTAAGTTTTCTTTTGTATTCTGTGTATGTTTGTGCAGCCCTGCAGATGTACGTTTGCTCATGTACATCAGTTTGTGCAGATGTGTCTACATGTAGGAAGTTGTGATCATTTTGTCCCTTTTTTTTTTTTTTTTTTCTTTTTTGCCACTATACACTCACTTATTTAGTCATCTTTCTATTTTTAAATAAATGGCAAATTCTGTCTGTCTGTCTGTGTATCTGAAACCCCTTTAACTTGGGCCGCACTTTCTCTACATAGACATTTTTGAAATCAGGATGATCCCAGGATTTCAAATCTCTCCTTCATTTGGAACTTGAACATTCGGCATTTGGAATTGTGTCTGGATGAGTAGGGAACAGTTAAAAATTCAAATTTTAGTGATTTTAAGTTTTTAATTTATATTGAGTTTAAAGTAACACAAAAATTTTGTGAATTAAATTCAGTTTAAAATATCTCCAAAACTTTGTCAATTGAGGAAATCAATTTTATTTCTTCAAAATGCCAAAGAATCAGAGTTAAAATGAGGTCTTATGATTTGAGGTTTTGAAGTTCCATGGAGTTTGTGATTTGAAGGAACTCAATTTTTGGCCTGACTTGGAATTTTGGCCCAAATTGGTCATTTGGATAGAATTGGACTTAAAGCCTGAATCAGAATGAAGTCTTGAAGTTCCATGGAGTGAATTGAGGAGTTCAGAGTTATTTCTTCAGAATTACAATTGACGTTACCTAAGCGGAACCAGAGGTATCTTTAGTTTTGGGCTGGAGACTCAATTTGCCATCCGCAGGAGCTAGCTCAACAGTTAACGCAGACTGTGGCCTTTTAAGCTAGTATAATTTATTTATATATATATACATACATATATATATATATATATATATATATATATATATATATATATATATATATATATATATATATATATATGACATTTTTTATGTTTATACATACTTTTTATAGATACAAATATTTAAGTAAATGCTCTGTTTATAGTTTAAAAGCAGTAAAATCAACCTTGCTAACCGAACGATCCTCTGTGGCCTAATTGGTTAAGGCACATCAGGCTATATAACAGTTCCGTATAGGATACAGGTCCGATTCTGTCGGAGGATGAATATTTTCTATGAAAATTTCTCGGACATTCAGGCCAGTAAATCTTGTTTAATGCTGTTTATTATAAACAGAGCATTTACTTAAATATTTCTATCTATAAAAAGAATGTATAAACATAAAAATGTTTTAAAATAGTTGTCGGACTTTGTCCATTCCATAATGTGTGAAATCATACACACACACACACACATATATATATATATATATATATATATATATGATGTTGGCACAAGGTCGCAGCACTATTGTTTTTAAATTAGAAATTAGTTGAGAATAATTTTTTTGCCTGAAATATTAGTTCACATGAAATCATGCATAACTGGCTGTGTTGTGTGTATCTGCATATGTAGAAATACCTGTGTGTATGTAGATGCACACAGATATACGCATGTGATCAATCCATGTATTAACCATATCACCTGGGGCATTCCTTTTTAGATTCTCATCCAATATGCAAAGAAAGAAAAAAAAAGAACTGAAATAACTTTCTTTTAATCAAATTATAAATCCACTCTTCCTCTCCAACGACATGAACATTCTTTTGTCTTTTTTTGAAAGTTTTGCTGAAAAGCAAAAATAATTTCTTTGTCTGTTGTTCCGCCTGAGGTCCTTCTGCAGAGTTCAGATCATTTCGGTTTTCAAAGAAGTGTCACCCTGTATCCTAACTATTTCACCTTATGTAATACTGATTAACTGGTGTGTTTTGGAAAACCAGAACTGTGTAGATTTTGTTTATTTCTTTCTGACATCTTTCAAGATTCGTCTAACACTGTGACTCTCAGCATAGGTTGCATGCTTCCCAGGGGGAAATTTCATTTTTAAAAGGGTTCAATTCAAAAATAGATTAATAGCACTGAATTTTTTTCTAGCGATTATGTGTGTATGTGCCAGTTAAAATATATAATATGCATAAATAAAAATATCTGTATACCTATACAGTGTAACCCGAATATAAGAGAGTTGTCGGAACCGGAGAAGAAGTCTCTTATATCCGGGTTTCTCTTATATCCGGATTTGGTCTATTTTATATACATTAACACAGGCTCTAATTTGGGACCAGAGAAAATCTCTCTTATATCCGGGTTACACTACAATTTTTATTAGCACATTTAGAGAGAACATATTAAAGAAGTATTTTAAATTATACAGTGTAACCCGGATATAAGAGAGTTGTCGGGACCGGAGAAGAAGTCTCTTATATCCGGGTTTGGTCTATTTTATATACATTAACACAGGCTCTAATTTGGGACCAGAGAAAATCTCTCTTATATCCGGGTTACACTACAATTTTTATTAGCACATTTAGAGAGAACATATTAAAGAAGTATTTTAAATTATACAGTGTAACCCGGATATAAGAGAGTTGTCGGGACCGGAGAAGAAGTCTCTTATATCCGGGTTTGGTCTATTTTATATACATTAACACAGGCTCTAATTTGGGACCAGAGAAAATCTTATATCCGGGTTACACTGAATTAACTATCTCTATTTCTGAGATGAGGTATTGTAAACATTTACATTATTCGGTCCATTCTGCTCGTCTTTATTGCCATATTTAGAATATTTTGGCCATTGTGTGCTCCGACCTTCTTCAGGTGGATGGAATTTCGAACTGGACCCTTCATTACATCCACCAATGTAGATTGTTCTAGTTCCATGTGCCATGCCTTTTCGAGATGTCCCAGTTCTCTCCCTTTAACTCAACTCTACAAGTTTTTGTTCACTGCTGCAGTAGCCAGGTAGTGAACTCAAAACTCATTGAGTCAAGTTACTGGATCTAACCAACACTTTTATCCACTGGGCCATGTGTACTTGAGGACACATTGTGAATATGGCAATAAAGATGAGGACAACAGTCCGAATGATGTAAATAATATAAATGTGTAGTTATGGAGACACACATATATATATTTAAATTAATAACACAATATTTTTTTAATTATTGTAAAATTTTAAAATACTATGACATATACGCAGTCTCAAGTTTTTAAGTAGAGTTAAATTAAT